ACCAGCTGGATGCTTTCAAACATGTGGCGGCGGACAGCGTCACGGGAGGGGTGTTGGGTGACAGGCTGCAGACGAGTGATGCTCAATTTTTGTCAATGTGCAGAACTATGTGTTTGGACCTTCCCTTGGCAACCGTTGCGAGGATCAGACACTTGAAGAGGCAAGCAGACAGGCATGACATGCGCATGCAAGTGCCCAGTTTTGCATTTCTCCAATGTCGCACACCAGTACTTCACCTGCCAGGTTGAAGTTTTCTGCTGAACAAAGCAGGCAAATCTGCGCCACTGATCCAGGCCGTCAAAGATTGGTAAGTGAGCAGAACTGCAGTGGCTTCCTCGCGCACGGTCTGCCTCTAGCATCTCTTTGACCCAAGGCGCTTTCCCACTCGGCCTTTGCTGCGCGCAACGGCTGAAGGTCCTGACCGTCACGGGATCCTGCAGCTTTGCGGAAGACCTTACTGCAGGCTTCGCGTAGGGCTTGTGGATCAGAGTCTCGGTTGACGCCGGGTGCCACTTGGAGCAGGGCGGCTGCTGCCAAGAGGGCAGAGACAAAAGCGCTTGGAGGTGTGAATCCATGAGGAAGCACGAGAAGTAACACCGGACCGACCTATCCTAGCACGGACTTGAGCGTGGAACAGGCCATGTTTTCAGTTCAACAAGACCAGCTGGATGCTTTCAAACATGTGGCGGCGGACAGCGTCACGGGAGGGGTGTTGGGTGACAGGCTGCAGACGAGTGATGCTCAATTTTTGTCAATGTGCAGAACTATGTGTTTGGACCTTCCCTTGGCAACCGTTGCGAGGATCAGACACTTGAAGAGGCAAGCAGACAGGCATGACATGCGCATGCAAGTGCCCAGTTTTGCATTTCTCCAATGTCGCACACCAGTACTTCACCTGCCAGGTTGAAGTTTTCTGCTGAACAAAGCAGGCAAATCCGCCACTGATCCAGGCCGTCAAAGATTGGTAAGTGAGCAGAACTGCAGTGGCTTCAGCCCGATAGCCAGCCTCACTCGCGCACGGTCTGCCCTAGCATCCCTTTGACCCAAGGCGCTTTCCCACTCGGCCTGCGCGCGCAACGGCTGAAGGTCCTGACCGTCACGGGATCTTGCAGCTTTGCGGAAGACCTTACTGCAGGCTTCGCGTAGGGCTTGTGGATCAGAGTCTCGGTTGACGCCGGGCGCCACTTGGAGCAAGGCGGCTGCTGCCAAGAGGGCAGAGACAAAAGCACTTGGAGGTGTGAATCCATGAGGAAGCACGAGAAGTAACACCGGACCGACCTATCCTAGCACGGACTTGAGCGTGGAACAGGCCATGTTTTCAGTTTAACAAGACCAGCTGGATGCTTTCAAACATGTGGCGGTGGACTGCGTCACGGGAGGGGTGTTGGGTGACAGGCTGCAGACGAGTGATGCTCAATTTTTGTCAATGTGCAGAGCTATGTGTTTTGGACCTTCCCTTGCAACCGTTGCGAGGATCAGCCACTTGAAGAGGCAAGCAAGACAGGCATGACATGCGCATGCAAGTGCCCAGTTTTGCATTTCTCCAATGTCGCACACCAGTACTTCACCTGCCAGGTTGAAGTTGCTGAACAAAGCAGGCAAATCTGCGCCACTGAATCCAGGCCGTCAAGATTGGTAGAAGTGAGCAGAACTGCGGTGGCTTCAGCCCGATAGCCAGCCTCACTCGCGCACGGTCTGCCTCTAAGCATCTCTTTGACCCAAGGCGCTTTCCCACTCGGCCTTTGCTGCGCGCAACGGCTGAAGGTCCTGACCGTCACGGGATCTTGCAGCTTTGCGGAAGACCTTACTGCAGGCTTCGCGTAGGGCTTGTGGATCAGAGTCTCGGTTGACGCCGGGTGCCACTTGGAGCAGGGCGGCTGCTGCCAAGAAGGGGCAGAGACAAGCGCTTGAGGTGTGAATCCATGAGGAAGCACGAGAATAACACCGGACCGACCTATCCTAGGCACGGACTTGAGCGTGGAACAGGCCATGTTTTCAGTTTAACAAGACCAGCTGGATGCTTTCAAACATGTGGCGGTGGACTGCGTCACGGGAGGGGTGTTGGGTGACAGGCTGCAGACGAGTGATGCTCAATTTTTGTCAATGTGCAGAACTATGTGTTTGGACCTTCCCTTGGCAACCGTTGCGAGGATCAGACACTTGAAGAGGCAAGCAGACAGGCATGACATGCGCATGCAAGTGCCCAGTTTTGCATTTCTCCAATGTCGCACACCAGTAACTTCACCTGCCAGGTGGAAGTTTTCTGCTGAACAAAGGGCAGGCAAATCTGCCGCCACAGAGCAAGGGCCGTCAAGATTGGTAAGTGAAGCAAACTGCAGTGGCTTCAGCCCGATTGCCAGCCTCACTAGTCGCACGGTCTGCCTCAGCATCTCTTTGACCCAAGGCGCTTTCCCACTCGGCCTTTGCTGCGCGCAACGGCTGAAGGTCCTGATCGTCACGGGATCTTGCAGCTTTGCGGAAGACCTGACTGCAGGCTTCGCGTAGGGCTTGTGGATCAGAGTCTCGGTTGACGCCGGGTGCCACTTGGAGCGGGGCGGCTGCTGCCAAGAGGGCAGAGACAAAAGCGCGTTGGCATACTTGGAGGTGTGAATCCATGAGGAAGCACGAGAAGTAACACCGGACCGACCTATCCTAGCCCGGACTTGAGCGTAGAACAGGCCATGTTTTCAGTTTAACAAGACCAGCTGGATGCTTTCAAACATGTGGCGGTGGACTGCGTCACGGGAGGGGTGTTGGGTGACAGGCTGCAGACGAGTCATGCTCAATTTTTGTCAATGTGCAGAACTATGTGTTTGGACCTTCCCTTGGCAACCGTTGCGAGGATCAGACACTTGAAGAGGCAAGCAGACAGGCATGACATGCGCATGCAAGCGCCCAGTTTTGCATTTCTCCAATGTCGCACACCAGCACTTCACCTGCCAGGTTGAAGGTTCCTGCTGAACAAAGCAGGCAAATCTGCGCCACTGATCCAGGCCGTCAAAAGATTGGCAAGTGAGCAGAACTGCAGTGGCTTCAGCCCGTAGCCAGCCTCACTCGCGCACGGTCTGCCTCTAGCATCTCTTTGACCCAAGGCGCTTTCCCACTCGGCCTTTGCTGCGCGCAACGGCTGAAGGTCCTGATCGTCACGGGATCTTGCAGCTTTGCGGAAGACCTGACTGCAGGCTTCGCGTAGGGCTTGTGGATCAGAGTCTCGGTTGACGCCGGGTGCCACTTGGAGCGGGGCGGCTGCTGCCAAGAGGGCAGAGACAAAAGCGCGTTGGCATACTTGGAGGTGTGAATCCATGAGGAAGCACGAGAAGTAACACCGGACCGACCTATCCTAGCCCGGACTTGAGCGTAGAACAGGCCATGTTTTCAGTTTAACAAGACCAGCTGGATGCTTTCAAACATGTGGCGGTGGACTGCGTCACGGGAGGGGTGTTATGCCTCTTGATGGTTTCTGCAAAGCCGTGTGGATCACCCGCGGATCGAATTTCCAACTCCTTTTCATGTGGCAGGAGTGGGACGGTCAATTATCACCCTCTTTTAAATTTAAAATACTTTAAAGGCTTTGGAGTGTGACAATTCGACCGCGAATGACCCAGCAACAACTTGCAGGATTCTAGGGGGAAAGGGTTGCTTTTTCTGACAAGGCCCAAGAGGCACAACTTTTGTCCTGGTGGTGTATGTTTCTTTCTTTATTGCTTTATTTCTTTCTTTCTGCTTCCTTCCTTCCTTCCTTTCTGTCTTTCTTTCCTTTCGTTCTTCCTTCCTTACTTCCTTTCTGTTTGTCTTTCCTTTCTTTCCTTTCTTTCTTTCTTTCTTTCTTTCTTCCTTCCTTCCTTCCTTTCTTTCTATCTTTCTTTTCTGATTCCGTCTTTCTTTGTGTCTTTCTTTCTTTTGTTTCGCGCACCTGTTCTATGAAACAGGGGCCACCATAGAAAGTCGGTGGAGAACTGTCGTTCCCAAAGAAGGGGCCTGATGCAACACCGACCATCCACATTCAGCACCGGGGCGAGCTGCTTGTTTTTGAGACATCTTTCCTGTTTCGGATCTCACGGGCTCCTTGACACTTGAGGTCGGCCGGTGTTTTCTGATTTCAACATGGCCAAACAGTCTCTGTGTGTGTGCCTGCGCAGTGTGTGTGTGTGTGCATGTTTTTGTATGTCTGCGTCAAATTGTTCTGGAAATGGGGACAGAAAGAAACTAAGGAAACTGTTGAATTCTAGCTGGAGCAACTGGTAGCACGTTTCCAAATGAGTCCTAGAAACCCTGTCCATGTATAACCATTGTTAAAAGTTCTGGAACAGGGGTTGGCTTTACAATATGCACAATCATGCTCTACAATGCTGGGGCTGTCATTCTTTAGAGAAAAAGACACGTGCAAACGCGCGCGCACAGAGAGAGAGAGAGAGAGAGAGAAAACAAACAAACAAACAAACAAACAAACAAACAAACAAAAAACAAACAAACAAACAAACAAACAAACAAACAAACAAACACAAAAGAATGAAAGAAAGAAAGAAAGAAGGAAGGAAGGAAAGAAAGAAAGAAAGAAAGAAAGAAAGAAAGAAAGAAAGAAAGAAAGGAAGGAAGGAAGGAAGGAAGAAAGAACACCGCAGCCTCTGTTCTTCTGGTCCCCAGTTCTCTCTTTTCCTCTCCAAGGCATCTGGCGCTTTCCATACACGACGGCTTCCAGCCATCGCAACCTTTCGTTCTCGACGCATCCGGCCAAGGGGTCCCTCCCCCAAGACCGCCCGCAGTCGCGGCTTCCCTTGCGCGCGTGCGCCGCGCTCGCAAGCATCATGGCGCCAAAAGGCGCCAAGCCTTCTGGCCAGCCCTCCAAGGGCCGACCCCCCCAAAAAAACGCGGGTGCGCGATTTGCGCCAAAAAAAAGAGAGAAGTCTCAACACGAAGAAGCGGCTAGGTGGCGCCTGGCTTTTGTTGGTGCTCAAGGTCCCAAGTCTTCGAACAATCGGCCAGCAACCTGCCCAAAGGGATCACGCACCCGTGTTCATCATCAGACAAATATTGTCGCCCTTCAGCAGGATCCGGCCTCAGCGACCCCGAACCGAAACGGTGCAGGGCGGTGTCGGGGGATCAAAGTCAGGACATGAGAACTGCCTCGACTTCACCTGCCATTTGGGGGGGGGTGACTTTGATCATGGCAAAGTCATGCGGCCAGGGAGAGGGAGGGAGGAAGAGGGAACTTGGGAAGTCCGTTGTTAGACAATCCCATATGGTTCCAAGCGTCAAAACGTTCAAGCTTGCGCGCCAAAGCACGATCCAGTGAAGCAGTACCTATCACGAGCCAAGAACCGGGGGGTTCTGAGAATCGGGAGCTTCCTTTTGAATACCCAACCACAGGATGCCCACCATGCTGGAGATTTGTGTGAATCTTCCCGAACAATAGTAGGTAACCAGACATGTAAACCCCTCAGGTAAACAGAGAGTTTTGTTCAGCTGGATCTGTTTCTTGCTGCATGAGTTTTCCGTCCTAAGCACCTGGCCAATGGCGCGCCGAGTCTTCTTCTTCACCATGATCTCCTCACGCACAGGGATGCTTGGGCACCAGGGCAGAACTTCGGTTCAAACGCACGGTCGATGGACGAAATCCACTTCGCACCACTTGGAAACAAAGGGAAATCATTGTTTGTCGCTATTTGCAAATGGAATCGAATCCTTCCAGGGTTTCTTAGGTGCGAGATGGATTGCGTCCATCAGTTCTAGCCTCATGGTTCGGTCATGCAGGTTCGAAAGAGCCCTGAACTTCCAAGCCTATGCCCGGCCATCCTTCTGCTCCCCGGAATCTTCCTTGAGCAAAGAACTTTGTTCTTGGCAGCCCGGCTCTACAAAAATAAACAGGGCCAAAACGCAAAAGCAGGAGCAGTGGAGCTTCCCTTTCACAAAATATTCCCAATAGGTAGTTGGCTCGCCCGCACTGGTCACGAAACAGCGCAGCTGGGGCATAGATCCCACCACCCCCACTTCCCGTGTGGCAGATTGAAAATGGGAAGCTTGAATTGAAGCTGCATCTACCTCGCACACGGCAGATTGTCAAAATCAGGTTTGCGTTCCAGAAAAGGTCCTCCCAAGTGATTTTGGTTGGGACTTTCATCAATTTTGATTGGGGTTGCGAACAGACCTACCAGACCCTCTTTGAATCTCTCAAGGCAGCATAACATGCAAAGCATGAAACTGGGGCCCACAAAAGAGCTCCCCTCCCCCCTCGCAGTACGTGAAGCCAAATCCTCTGCATCATCGATGACAAGATTCATGTACCTGCGGCCATTTGCGATGCCCAAAGGCGGCTTTTTAGCCGGGCTAAGTCACTTTAAAGGGACCCAGCCGAACGGCTTTCATCGGATGGCTTAGTCTAATTCATGTACCTGCGGCCGTTTGCGATGCCCAAAGGCGGCTTTTTGGCCGGGCTGGGTCACTTTAAAGGGACCCAGCCGAACGGCTTTCATCGGACGGGTTAGTCTAATTCATGTACCTGCGGCCATTTGCGATGCCCTAAGGCAGCTTTTTTGAGCCGGGCTCGGTCACTTTAAAGGGACCCAGCCGAACGGCTTTCATCGGACGGGTTAGTCTAATTCATGTACCTGCGGCCATTTGCGATGCCCTAAGGCAGCTTTTTTGAGCCGGGCTCGGTCACTTTAAAGGGACCCAGCCGAACGGCTTTCATCGGACGGGTTAGTCTAATTCATGTACCTGCGGCCATTTGCGATGCCCTAAGGCAGCTTTTTTGAGCCGGGCTGGGTCACTTTACAGGGACCCAGCCGAACAGCTTTCATCGGACGGCTTAGTCTAAGGCACATATCAAGCAGCCTCGCCATCGTGACGTGACGTGCGCACCCCCCAACGCCCCCATTGCAAACTCACAGCCTGGGCATTGCCTATGGCTGAAAGAAGCTCGATGTTCCCGGGCGAAACAAAGTTGAGTCATGAAATTCGCCCCGCCGAAATGAGCTGCACCGCGGGTGCAGACCCCAGTGGCGCACTCGTCGAAGCCCAGGATCCGGCCCTCGATGCGGAGGTCCGCCTGCTCGTGCAACCAGACCTGCCAGGCCGGAAGCCAGCCCGTGCGGGAAGACGCCGCACTCCACGCTTGGAAATGGAGACACGCCCAAGGAAGGGCCAAGGAACCGCTCCAGCTCTCGCACAATTTCAGGCCAAGCAAGAGAACACCAAAGGCAAAATCTACTCGACCTACAAATGTACATGGATCCCCAAGCCCGTGACTCTTAGAAGGAACTGATTTCGAAAGCCTCCCTTGCTGGACTGCCACGTCCCGCTGCATGGCGCCCAATTCCTCTGCAGGCGACTGCGCAAACTGTGAGCCGCCTGCACCCGCGATCGGTTCTGCAGGTATCTGAAGATCTGGTTGATGGGCAGGGTCCTCAGCGGAGCTGCCGAGCCCCTGTTTTGCCACACCAGATGCGCTTGGGGTGTTGCCTGCTTGAATGTTCGGCCAACTTCGGACGCCATGGTCCTGCCACACTCTTCTGGGGATGGGTGTTGAAGGGACAGATGTGGCAAAGAAGCCGGCCGAACCCATTGAATCAATCCACCCACGTTGCGCTGCCCAGGCGGGGCAAACCCCCAAGCAAGGTATTGCAAGTACCCTTCGACCAAGATTGGAATATTTACCCTCCCACCAATCAACATGGAACCTGACGTTCAGGATCCGGTCCCTTTAGAAGGAACATGGTCTTCCAGGGGCGCCCCTGTCAGGTTCCGCAGGAAGATCCACCTTAAGCGCCAGGTTCCCCCGCAAAAAGGGAGGGTTTTCCTCTGGGTGTCCCCCGAAACCCCACCAAAAAGGAGTAGACACACTCATTTCTCAAGGAGCCGGCATGATCTTCTGCAGCTTCTTGTTGCTGATCGCCATGGCTGCCTCAGGCCACTCGGCACGGGAGGCCCTTTTCGTTGCGGCATGTTGGCTCGTGCAAAAACGGGTCTCCAAAAAGTTTGGGGTCGTCGGTTCAACCGTTTTGGGGGTACCCTAAATTGAGACACACCCGAACATTGCAAGCAAACCTGCAAAACTTCTGTCGGCTTGCGGGGTTGCTTGTTCTACTTGCAATATTTGAATATCCGTAGCACATAAGCACCCACGTCGAATGTTGATGGCTCCAAACCGCGACCTGGTAGAGAAAAGCCCAAGTATGGGCCTGTTGGCCTTGCAGTTGAAGCTTCTCTGAGCATGTGGCATGAGGGTGGCAGTTTTGCGTCGATCACACGAGCCCCATGGCCAAAAACAGATGCTGCTTCAACGCCTTGGAGTCTGGGGTCCCCGCAGATCTGGGGTCCCCGCAGATCTGGGGTCCCGGCGGATCGATCGGGTCCCACGGGGAGTCTGCAATAGATCTGAGTCTGACTCTGGGAGTAAAAGCTGCGCTTGAAAAGCGCTCATCAGCTTTGCCCAAAGGTTTGCCGGCTTGAATTGGGAGGTTTAGAAGTCTGGTGCCGCTTCCGCTTCGATCGAAGCCTGTGGCGTACTAAGGGCCCCTCCGGGCAGGGGCCACTGCCGCCGAATACCCAAACTGATTTGCAAAAAGGCTTGGCTTTGTGGTACCTGAAAGCCAGCCGGCCATTCCCAACCACCGGAATGCTACACAGCCCGTTGTCCCCCCCCACCACGCCCCGACCCCGCAAGCTTTTGCCGCAGCTTTTGCTTTTGCCGCAGCTCTCTCCTCCCAGTCGAGCGCCGCCAGCCTGCAAGCAAGACTCCGGTGTCGTGGTGACCAGGGCCTGGTTGAAGCCCAAATTTGCCCAAGCCTGATTGAAACAAGAGGGAACTGGTTGAGGTTGCTGCGACTGGGACCATGGAACTCATGGAGCACGGAGGCCCCCACAGGTCTCTCACCAGGCTCTTTGCGGCAGAATCATGTGATTTGGGGAAACGAAGGGATGCAAGAATGCAGGTGTTGGAGGGATGAATCAAAGCGGACATCCTTGATGGCAGGGAAGTAGCAAAATGCTACCGCCCATGCCGTTGCTCGCACCTCGTTGGCTCTTCTGACTCATGTCGCTTTCGCAGTCGCACAAGACTCACGCTGAGATTAAAACCCCCAAACCACACCAGCCCCCAAACAAAACACACGCTCTTGAGGAAGGCTACCCTCCCACCAACTAACATAGAAGTGCAAAAAGGCCCTTTCCAAGAGGAAAGTAGTCTTTCTACGGGGGCCTGTGCACTTCCATATTAGCTGGTGGGAGGGTAAACTTTGGGGCGAGACTAGGCTCGGTGGATTTTGGGGGATCTGGCCCTCTCTGCCGCGGCCTCTTTGGCCTCGGCGGGGCTGGGCAAAGGCCCAGTCTCGCCTCGCCAGGATGCGTGCGGATCCTCCTGTGAATGAGAAGCAACCGCAGGAAACCAGCAGGTAAAGAACCCTGGTCACCTACTATAGTGGCGAACGTCGGGGGAAGCACCGGGATAGACCATCGCAGTAAATCATCAGCTACCGACATACTAGGCAACTAGCCAGTTCAAAAGGCTGGCTCGCAAAACACTCTACAGCCTAGGTAACCTAGGCATGTCAAGTGTTTGGTCTTCAAAAAAGGTGGGTCATACAGCTACCGTGGAACGCGCGATAAGCTCACCTGGCTGTGGGTCAACAGTAAACAACAAGGGGACCGCAGATTTTAGAGCATATGTCCATTTACCAGGGTTGAATTTTGGGTACCCATGTTTGACACGCAGCCACCTCACGCCTTCGTCTTTTTTGTTGCTCGGCACACCTCCGCTCGCTCAAGACCGCCCAAGCCTTTGGCGCACCATGACCAGGAGCTGGCGCTGGACATCCACCAGCCCGCCTCAAAAGAGCCCCCAACGCCCACAAGCCGTTTGGTGTCCCACAGCCCAACAGCCCATCAGCCCAGCAGCCTAACCCAACAACCCAAACAGCCCAACAACCCAACAGCCCAGCCACCCATTTGCTCAACAACCCAACAGTCAAACAACCCCAACAGCCCAACAGCCCCCCAGCCCCCCAACCAGCCACCCATGGGGCCCATTGTTTCCCCGCATATAAGATCCTCAAATCTTAGTACCTGCTTGCTTTGGGGGAAAAAGAAGTAAGAGAGATTGTTCAACCACTACAAAGGGGACCGACCTCCTTTCCGTGTATGCCTCCAGAAACATCCGTACGCCAGGGTTCCCGCCGCCCGTTGTTTCAGCCTCTGGCTTGCCCAAGCACGTTTGCGTCAGCTCACCGTGAAACTCGTAAAGGTTTATCTAAACGTATAAAAACACAAACTAAAAGTGGTTTAATATTTTGTACAGGATCTTGTAGTAGGCATAATTTGGGCAAACGTACTCAATATTCTAAAAAAAAAAAAAGCAAGCAAGACACGCTTAATCGTGTTGAATACAAGAGAGTATCTATGTATTTATCATACGGTCTATAACATCTAGAATAAGTTATATGAATAGAGTGTTGTGTCCTGCTCAGTCAAGAATAATACGTAAAACAAAAAACTTCTAAAGGACACAGAGGAAGAAGAAAGCAGTGTATTACAATTGCTGGACTAGCTGTTCAAAAAGCAGGTGTGTATCGTTGAAAAAGTAAAGTAATATAGTTTAAAGATTTGCAATTTCTCGTATAAATGCATTTGCTGATAAAACTCATATGAACTACTCAACATTTACTCAACATTAATGTTTAATTTACGAACAATTTTGGTGAACAAATGACTAATAAGTCTATGATATTATAACTTTCTATTTAAAAAATAAAAAAAAAAAAAAAAAAACACTTGAAAAGTTCAAGCGCTTAAAAAAGAAGGAACCCCCCCCATCCTGTTTATCAATGTATAGCAGGTGCATGTTGCGCGTTAGAAAGTATAGGTTTTACAAGAATTTATGGGAATGATATTTTATCTAATAATGATGCTTTTGATGCATTAAATATTTCTAAAGATCATCCTAGCAGAGATTCTTCTGATCGTTGGAGAATCATGTGTGAGTGTGTGTGTGTGTGTGTCATGGTGTTGCCCTTTATCTTGGCCCAGATCTGGGGTACACTGAAAACACACTTGCAAGTAGGTTCCATGGATATATGCCAAAGTAGGGCCAAAACATGGGCGGATGTCCCTTTGGTTTCTCGGGGAAAACACCCAAAAAGGGGACCCTATGCACAGGTACCCTCCCTCCAATCATGGAAGCTTACGGTCGGAGGGGTTGGGAAGACTATCTTTTTGGGCAAGCCCCCTTGTAGCTGGGTTCGCAGTCCACATGGAGACCATACCCCCCAGACCCGCTTCGCTCCGCCGGAGAACTCGAACTGGTGGCTCTCGTGATTCTTTGAAAGAGGGTATGGTGTACCCATCGTTTTGATTTGGGGGTTGATCAATATTCCTGCCCCCAAATAACCATGGGTAACTTTTTCCATTTGGTGGGAATTGTCACATTTTAGTTGTCGTTCCTCAATCAGGGCTGTGGGAAATGGAATCAACTTCTGTGATACAGCAAAAGGCGCCTCCCAAAGACATTTTCCCCCCAAAGGAGATTCCCAAAAGTATTGCGGAAGTGAGCCCCTTGCATAATCAAGCACAACCCGGGGTCCCCAATTTCCATTTGGGGCCCCCAGTTTTGACCATGGCCAACTGTTCAACCATTTAGTGGGAGTTATCACATGTTGGTGGGTTTCCCTAGTCATTGCCGTGGGAAATGACCACTGCCACGGACTAGCTCCGCCAGAAGAGAGGCCTAAGGGTACCCTTTTTCCGTAGTCTACTTTAGTAGGGGAACCCTCCCCCAAAAAGAAAGGGTAAAAGGGCGCTACTGGAAAACCTCGCCGGAAGTGGTTGGATAAACTTTCCGGTGATCCACCACAACCCTGGGACAGGGCACCCTATATTTCCCCTACTCACCTTCAACGGGCCAAAAGGTGTGTTTTTTGTTTAAACTACCAAAATGGGAAATATAGGGACCCCTGTGGGATGTTTTTCAATGGTCATCTCATGTCCCCCGGGCCAATTTTGATCAACGCCCCAGACCCGGAGACCCGGAGACCCGGAGACGGCTGGGATCCAGGGCATTCTTCGCAGGCCTTCATGAGGTCTTCGCAGGCGAGCACCGTCCACTGGACACCTGACTTGCGGTCTCGCAGGACCCCAACATTGGGGGTGGTGGCCCCTTTCAGACCACAGAGAAAAAAAAAAAGGAAAAGTTGCCCTCAAAAAATGGGGTGGTTTCCCTTTGACTTCCCTTTAGAACCGCAAACAAGGCTACCCTGAACCCAAAATGCAGCTGGTGGCTCCCTTGGCTTCCCTTTAGAACCGAAGCAAGGGTACCCTCGCCACAAAATGGCTGGTGTTCCCTTTGGAACTTAGACTCCCCTCAAACAAGATACACCCTCAAGGCAAGCCGCGCCGCGAAGGGAAAGCAGCGTCTGCCATTCAACAGGGTTCCTTTGAAAGCCACCGAAAAATGGCTCTAAAGGTTTAGGACCCACGAAAACCTGCAGACTTTACGTGTTCCTTGTCGGGGTCGGCCGGCAACTTCCCATTTTTTTTGCAGCCAGAGCCACCTGCTTTAGGCGGCCAAACTGCTTGCTTGAGGCGTTGAACCTGACTCGAAGTGCTTGGCACCTGCCCCGAAGCCCCAAAAGCACTGGCCCACCTCCCAAACATGGCAACTGCCCTCCAAACGCGACGCGTCTAAAGCTTGGCAGTTAGAAGAAGAGCGGAAAACGCGCAAAGGAAAACCACCTTGCTTGGAGTTTTTTTGAGCACCCGCAACTCGCACCTCACGCGCGTTAGGAGCCCCAGCCTTCTCGCTGCATCACACTCAGGATTTCCACGCCCTGCGAGCGGCGAATGAAGGCTTGCCAAACCGATTCTCCATGATTGCTGCTGAAAAACCACTTGTACTGGGGCCAAGTTCCTGCCCAAAACTTAGTGACAGATCTTGCGCATTTAAACAGCCCAGCAATGGATTGTTTACAAAAAGGAGCTAGCCCACCTCTAGCCATAGAAACGCTGTCTATCTGTCTATTTGTCTATCTATCTGTCTCTCTGTCTGCTTGTCCATGTATCTATCTGTCTGCCTGTCCGTCCATCTGTGCATGTGCTATCTTACCCGTATAGTCTATCTAGTATCCAGCCTATCTAAACCAACTGATCTGGGCCAGCCAATGTATCTAATCCATCTAATCGATCTAATATGTCTCTGCGTCGTCAATCTAATCTATCTAGTCTATCTAAGATCTAGGATATCTATCTATCCATGCATTCCATGCATCCATCCATCCATCCATCCATCCATCCATCCGTCCGTCCGTCCGTCCGTCCGTCCATCCATCCAGTCCATCCGTCCATCTGTCGATCGATCTATCAATTTATCGATCTATCAATGTATCGATCTGTCGGTCTATCTATGTACTTATAAATATATCCATCCATCTGCCTATCCATGAATGGATCTATCTATTGATCCATCTATCTGTCTATCTATCGGTCGATCTATCTATCTCTATCGATCGGTTTATCTATCGATCCATCTATCTATCCATCTATCCATCTATGACTAGGTAACTGTCTGACTGTCTATCGATCTAGTCCAATCAAATCTTGTCTTACCTTTCCTGAACCTTGTCGTCCTGGCCATCCATCCATCCATCCATCCAACCATCCATGATCATCCATTTGCCCGTCCATCCATATTTTTCCCCATGTCGTTGCTGTTCATTTCATCGCATTTCATATCTCGTCATGTCATGGCATTTCGTTGATGCCCTTACTCACTTGCCCAAAGGACGTGGAAAAATAAAAGGTTAACCTTTTGGCAAATGGACCAAGATTGGAGAACCAAAAGGTCAAAAGGTCGGGCTTTGGGCGAGTGAGCTTCTTTACATTTTTCTGCAAATGTTACAATAATTCCAATACAGTACCTGAAAGAAGGGATCCCTAAGTAAAGAATCTGTGGCATGGCGAGCTAGTTTCACCCCCGAATCGGTGTCGGTGGGCTCGCCATAATTTGTGCAGAATCTTTGTTCACCCTGAAAGGTCCCATCCATGCGACGGATCTTCCACGTTTCCCTGGCCCCTGAAGAGCCATTTCCAGGCGCCCCAGCGCGCGGCCAGCGGGCACGGGCTGATTTCAGCGCCGCGTGGAAGGACACGGTGTTGGCCCTGAGGCGTTGGCGCGTTGGCGGGTCGGTTGGCCTTAAACCCAAGAACAGGGGATGTCTCCTTTTTTGGACCTCAAGTGGCAATGTTCTTGGAACCCATCAGTAAACTGCAACTTTTGAGGGGAATCCAGTGACCTGAAAGGGCTGTCAAGGACTTGCTTTGGGTGTGGATTTTATTGCGCAGCTGAGATGTAGAGTGGGTGTCCTCCTTGGGCACACCAATGAGCGTGTTTCGCGAATGGGATATGGAACCATCGTTGTTCCATAAAATCGCACACACACACACACACGCCCACACACACACACACAATTCGATTGGCAGGTTCTTGGCCGCAGCCGCTCACAGCCCCAGAGCCCTGAGCCAAATGGTTTGCCGACTGGTGAGGGCGGGGGCGGCCCCAGTCACACCCATCACTGCAGCTTGGATCCAGTTGGTCTGGCTGGCTATGCAAATGTTGGCGTCCAAAAAAACATGTGAACTGATGTTCTTGACACTGGCTGAACTTCCAGCCGCCTTTTCAATTTCAAACCCCACCTCAAGCCACCGCAGCCCCAACCCCCTGCCTCATGGCAGCCTGACGCATGCGCTGCAGCAGGGCAAACGCCCCCACCCAGCAGCCGCCTCCGTCCGAATCTGCTCCCCCGGTTTCGGAGCGGAATCGAACAATGGCGCTTGGCGGTAGTACATCTGCTGGGGTCCGTTTCTCAAAAGGGGGTTTCTCTGCAAAAGGTTGGTTTTCAGGTTCCATGTTCATGTATAAATTGAAGGGTATGTGTCAATAATGGGCCATTTAAAAATGGTGGCTCCCCTATTGGATTCCAGTGAAACCATCATAAAACAAGGCTGTCCTCCAAAAACAACCATTCAGGTGAATGTTTTTTAATGGGGTCCCCGAAGTTTCGAAAGGATGCCATTCAGGTCTCAATGGATGACATTCTAACATGTCGAGATCAGCAGCAATGTGGTCGCTCACTTCTTTCTCAGGTCGTGCCGGAAATCTGTTTGAGAGCTCAAGCCCGCAGGAGAAATTCCTGAAGGGCAAACACCCCCCCCCCCCCCACAAACCCGTCACGCCAGTTGAGGACTGAAGAGGCCACATTTCGAGCTTTCAGCTATCTGGGGAACAATGGTTCAAAAGCGTTGGGTGGAGAGGGCGGGCAATGCAAAAATATAAAAATGCATATGACAAGCAGCAGCCGCAGCATGAATGCCAAGCTGGTGAGCCAAATGGCCCATGAAGCACACTATTCGAAACCACATGAACAAGTACATGCATCGGATGCATGTAGTTCTCTTCCTGGTGGTTTCCCTTTCTTTACCACCCCAAGAAGGGTACCCTTAAAACACACACACACACACACACACACACCGCTTGCGTGGGGAGCTTGCAGTGCCCCGCCCGCACTGCCTGCTTCGCACGCGGCGATCGCGGCACTGCAACTCACCACGTTGAGCTGGAGCCTCCCCACGCGCCGACTCGCCGGCGGCTTGCCATGGCAAGACCAAAGAACTAGATAGTTAGGGAATGAGAAATGGAATGACCCCGGGAAAAACCATCCCCGATTTGGTTTGCTTTGAAAGAAAGCCCAGGTTCATTCCCAACACCTGGACCCTACTGAGCACCGGCAAGAGAAGGAAACCTAGACCATGACTACTCAGGTGACCTCTGAAATTCCATGACAGCCAACCAAAGAAGCCAAAAAGAAGCCCAACCAAGACGGAAACCAAAAAAAATCAAAAGTAGGCAAATAAAGCAAAATAATGGCAAAAAGAAGCACAAACTTCAAACAAAACGAAAGAAGGCTTTGATCACACTAGCAGATCAAGCTTTGTCAGCGCGGCAACAGCGTCCGAAATCACAGTGTTTCACGAAAACTGAAAAAAATCTGTGTAGATGAGAATGGTGGAAAATAATGTGCTTCATGCCAATATGTTTCAGAGTCATCGGTCTTGGCAGTTTGCACCCCAATGTTTGCCTGCATCGGACGGCTCAAGGTTTTGAACAGTTGGCAGCGAAAATTACGGACCCTAAACACACTCAGCCCAGTTTAAAGAAAGCTGAGCGCAGATCCAGAAAATATTTATCCGCGCGCCTGGTCGAATCGATGGAGTTGAACATGCCAATGGCTTCTCGCCATTTTCCGCCTGGCAGATGTTTTTTCCCACTGATTCGGATCCAAAGGAGATACGGAACCTGAATGGGGGTTTGCAAAAAAAAAAAAAAAGATAGCCCCACATGAGCCATGGTCCAAACTCCTTCTGTGGGCAATGGTTCCCTTACAAGGGTTCTCCCTCCATCCCTAAGGCTAAGGACCATCCTTACCAACAACCAAAACTCATGGTGCTGGTCCAAATTTACTGAACCTCAAAACCTTAAAAAAGGAAGAAAAACAACAGTAGAAGAGACCCCAGCTATCCTCACCACCAATGAGCCGAAGTGAGCTCCTTATAACATCAGGCCCCCGTGCTAAACGTCTCACCCACTGAGATGCCGTTGGCCAGAGGAACCGCGCCTTTCTCCATGGAGGTCATGGCCGAGCTGAGCACCACCAGGTCCACATCCACCCCGCCCTCCTCACCTCAGAGGAGTTCTCGAGGTCTCGGTCTCACTCCCAAATTGACGGGACGTGGGAAAAAGCGGGGCCCAAAGGTCAAGGATTTGCAACCCGCCCAAAACAAGAAGAGCGATTTGCATGCGATATGAGAGGCACCCTTGCGCCGGAGTGGCAAAAGCTTTGGGGCAGAAGCGGCGATTCCTTTTGGCGTACCAAACCCTATGCAAGCCGTCCGACTAAAAACCCAAAAAGGCTACGGAACCGGACAGCTGGTTCCGAACCAGAAAGAAATGGAAAGCCCCCTCCAAACCACTGGAGGTCCGAGAGCTAAGCTTCCGCGCCCACCCGCAAATGCTGGAGGATCTTGGCAGTGACCTCCGGCGACTCGAACCCCCGGAGTTTCCCCTCGCCTCCAATACAAAAGAAGGCGGCTGAGCAGCAAGGTCTGGAACTAGCGGTTCCTTGAAATACCAATCAAAAGGGGTCCACCATTTTTGAGAAACACCCACATGCGTTCTGTTTCTCCTTCTGGTTGTTTTGTCGGGGAGGGGGGAAGTTGCGATGAGCCGACCGACCTGAGGCTAGAGTTGGAAGGATAAAAATGTGGTCCCTGGTGGGAAACCAAAGGAAACCAAACCTGTGGATGGCTCATCTACGCATTGACAGGGCCTCATCCGTCTCAACTAGTGCAAAGCAAGTTTTGTCCATCCACGGCATTTCCTACCCTCAGGTGTCTCATCATCTTTTGGGTTTAGAGATGCCGAAAGCAAACCAAAACGAATTGAGTGCCATCTGGAGCGACCGGACGAATGAACAAATGAAAGGCTCCCCCAATGGATCATCTTCCCCCTACAGGGGTGGGCTCCCTTCCTCACCGCGGATGGGCTGGACAAAAAGCGACAAAAACAAAAACGATATGAAGCATATCATACATAACATCATGTCCCCGATTCCAAGGGGCACTTTCGAATTCGAACCAAGCCATCCAGCCTTCTTCTTGAGTACCTTTCAGGGGTCTCAAAACTACTGTAGCCCCCCCCCTTCGGAAATGCCTCGCTCCTTATACGTGGCCAAAGCATTGCCCTTTGCAAGCGGTGTCTCCGGCCAGGTTGCCGGGTCCCTCCCATGAACAAAAAAGGTTTCAGTGGCAATAAGCCCGCAAGCGGGTCATGGCCCAGGGAAACCACTGATCAACTTGTCCGAACACTTGATGTTCTGAGAGCCTCTCCTGAAAGATACAGCCGAAGCTCGTCTTTTTCCAGTTTCCATCAGTGATCCATTCCAGAACGGGCCCTCTTATTCCAATTCCCCCAAGAACCCTACAAAACCAATTCCGTAAATCAAGGATGTTGCAAAATAGACCCATTTTGCGTCCAACACATACCCCCCACCCAACCCCCCGCCCACACCCACCCCCCAAACCCAAACCCCCAAACCCCCCAAACCCAACCCCCCCCCCCTGCCTTCCACTGGACCTCCGTCTGGCAGCTGGAGAAGGCCGCCGCCGCCGAGAAGGCGTCCGGGCGCAGGCCCCGCAGCTGCGCCTCCCCTCAGAGGCGCGAAGCCGCGAGCCACAGCGCGTGGTTTGGTGGGCTGGCCCACCCATCCAAAAAGAAACGAACGTCATAGAAGCCAGCAGCATTTGCTCTGTGTATACATACCCCTCCCCCCCCAACCCCCCAACCCCCCAACCCCCCCTCTGTGGGGGTGGGGTGGGGTGGTTGAGTAGTTGGGGTGTGGTTGCTTTAGGGTTGGTGAGTTTTAGAGTTGGTGTGCGGTGGTTTAGGTTGGGTTTGGGGTTTCGGGTTGATTTAGGGTTACGGGTGGGTTGTTTTAGGGGTTGTGCTGGTTCAGTGTGTGTTTGGGGTAGGACTAGGGGTGCTGGTTTAGAGTGTGTTTAGGGTTGGTGGGTGAGGGGTGCTTGGGCGCGGGTTCACTGGGTCAAAGGGGTGGGAGTGCAGGGTACACGGTACTGGACAGCATCCCCAGGATTGCCAGCATCATCCCATGATGCACATGATGCGGGGGAAGGGGGGGCCCTACCCTTGGCCTGGGGACTGGAACATGTCTATATATATATATATTATACATGCTGTATGGAAAAACCAACATATATCTATATATATATGTATATATATATATATGTATGCACGTAGGTAGGTAGGTAGGTAGGTAGGTAGGTAGGTAGGTAGGTAGGTAGGTAGGTGTGTATGTATGTATGTATGTATGTATGTATGTATGTATGTATGTATGTATGTATGTATGTATGTATGTATGTATGTATGTATGTATGTGTGTATGTGTGTATGTGTGTATGTGTGTATGTGTATGTATGCGTGTATGCGTGTATGTGTGCGTATGTGTGTGTATGTGTGTAATGTGTGTATGTGTGTGTATGTGTGTATGTATGTATGTGTGTATGTGTGTATGTATGTATGTATGTATGTATGTATGTATGTATGTATGTATGTATGTATGTATGTATGTATGTATGTATGTATGTATGTATGTATGTATGTATGTATGTATGTATGTATGTATGTGTCTGTCTGTCTGTCTGTCTGTCTGTCTGTCTGTCTGTCTGTCTGTCTGTCTGTCTGTCTGTCTGTCTGTCTGTCTGTCTGTCTGTCTGTCTGTCTGTCTGTCTGTCTGTCTGTCTGTCTGTCTGTCTGTCTGTCTGTCTGTCTGTCTGTCTGTCTGTCTGTCTGTCTGTCTGTCTGTCTGTCTGTCTGTCTGTCTGTCTGTCTGTCTGTCCTGTCTGTCTGTCTGTCTATGTATGTATGTATGCATGCATGCATGTATGTATGTATTATGCGTGCGAGGCCCCTATCGACAACGGGCAAAGCAAACTTGGGGTGTGGGGGGTCAAGGTCAAGTGGTGCTGGAATCCTATGGTCCATGAACCGAAAGGTTTTCTCAGGGCGGTCAAAAAAGTTATGGGGGGTTAAACATCATGTTGGTTTTCTCAAAGGTTCCCTGCAAACCTCGCCCCAAAGAGGAAACTCCCTGCAAATGGTGATTCGTTTCAACCCATGAAAAACACGGAAATGTTAAGGTCCCCCCCCAAAAAAAAAACAAAAGGACCTGCATAAACCTCAGATAGCGAAAGACTAGACCTGCGTCAGCACCCCAAACTGCATGCCTCGTAGCACCCCGCCGTCAATCTCGCAAAAGTGCGAGAACGCCGCCACCAGCACCCCCCAAACTGCCCCCCAACACCCAGCCATCAATCTCGCAAACAACTTTCCCCTTTTATTAGAAGTTAGAACCCCTGTGGCTTTCAGCTTTCTGGGGGGAAAAGGCAAAAAACACCAGTGCCTGTGAGCCCCGATTTGGAGAGCTTGCACTCGAGCCCCGCGCTCAGCATCAGCAGGCCCCAAGACCAGGAGTGGCCTCGGACGCTCACATCAGAGTGCAAACGCCAAGTTTCAGAGAGGTTTTACCCAAATGAGGACGTGGAAAGGGTAAACCTCCTATTTGTAGGGATGCTGCCTGTTGATCCCACATCGGGCCCCAGCAGGAAAAAAAATGGCAGCGGACGCAAGGGGAAGATGCATCCCTGCGAGGTGACGGGGGGCTGAAAAGAACCCCAGCTCACAATTTCAGGGAGCACCTCTCCCAATCCCCACCCCCCACCCCATTTGTGTCGTCTTTTCTTTTTTGCTTTTTTTTTTTTGGTATGTTTTGGTGTTTGTTTGTTTTTTTTAGGGGGGGAGGGGGCTGCCCGTGGCTGCGAAAGCTTGGGCCCCCCGGCTGCGCAGGCAGGCCGTGGCCAAGGGGTTGAAGGTATAGATCTGCGGGCCTCCGAGAAAAATGAACAGGGGGGAAGGCGGAAGCCGACCCAAAAAATGTAGATTTGTCCCCCCCCCCCCAAAAAAAAAAAAAAGGAAAAGAAAAAGGACCCAAAAAACACATGTGGGTGTTTCTAAAAGGGGTTGGTGAACATCGGGGAGCGGACCCAAAACCAATCAGATAAACAACCATGATCATAGTACCAAAAGTCAGGCTTAGCCAAGAGAAACATTCGGTTAATTCGGAGATATTGCTTCCGGCGAAAGAAGATTGCCTTCGCAGTGTGTCGTCCTTTAGAATGGAACTGCGCCAGCGAAAGAAGCCCTCTCCAAAAAGGTTGTTGCAGTCCTCGCGGAAAGTGCCAAGTATCTGGGCACAGAATCACACTCTAGATGGTGGCTTAAATGGAATCCGCCCCCAAGCGGTCATTTGAAGAACCCTCTTGGTGTGCCGAAGATTCCCTCCGCGCATAGTCGGGCCCCCGGGCGAAAAACCCCGTGGTGCCACGCATTGGACACCTAGGGTAGGTCTGCGAAGCCAACGACTGGGGAAACCCCCGAGCACAAAAAATGTGTTTCCTGTTGAATTGCCTGTAACACTGCCCTGTAAATAGCTTCTTAGACACAACTGTCTTTCTATCTTGTATTTTGTCTGGGGGGGGGGCATGACGAAACCCGGAAAACCCACAGCTCAGTTCAGGTCGATTGGCTTCGCAACCTCTTTTAGTGTTTGTTTGGAAGGAAGGACTTTGGAAAGAATGGAGAAGGTATGAAGGTATCCCTAGAGCCAGAGTTGCGCAACATGTGCAAACCCTGGCCCCCCTTCACCCAAAAGGAGGTTGAACAATAGTCAACATAGTTGTCCCAGACCCCAGTGGCGGTGGGAAATGCCAAACAAGGAAAGGGGCAACCTTTCTTGGTCGTTGATTTCGAACGGCCACCCCCTCAACGGAGGCAGCCGACTGGCTGAGAAGAGCTCGCACTCACCAAAGCGAGGCACTGGGGCCACTGGCCGCCGCCAGAGCAGGCTGCCACACGGAGGCCTCCAAAGAAACCCCAAGTCCAGCTGTTCGGGTCTCAAAGCGCTGGCCAAAAGGAGGGTATTTGTGGGAGTTCCGACTTCAGAGGTCATGTTGTCGACTTCTTTCTTGTCCTCAAACCGTCCCATCCTTTTTGGTCGGAAGTCATTCCTGGAAGTCGCAAGATGGAGGAGTGTTGGAGTTAGGTCTCACCCCGGTGGGCAGTTGATTCTCCCCACAGGAGTTCGAGGAAGTCGATTCTTGAAAGCTGCTTCCTTGTGTAACCCAGGATTCCGGCAGGTGGGACGGGTGGCGATGCCACCAGATGGTGCTTGCTTGCCTCTGGTCTCCCTTTAACCAACCCAACTCCCCACAAAAACAACCATGGAACCAACCCCGAAAAACTGAGACACACCAAAAAAAGAAGGAGGAAAAAGCCAGGAAAAAAGCCACACCAAAAACGGGGACCCCACAACAACCCCCAAACCCCAACTTCCGCCCCAATCATTCCCGCCTCTCCGCAGCTAATCACCGCCTGGTTCATGGTGGGCGCCCACACGTTGAAGCGGTACCGGTTGTCCCCTCGCTGCTCCCTGCCGAAAGGATGGGCCGGGCGCGCGTCATTTTTTTGGAGAGTTCCTTTTCTGTTGGCGCAAAAGGAAAACCAAAGGAAACCGCCCATTCGGGGGGGGGGGTCCAAGATCCTATCTTGAGGCAAAAACACAGTTTTTTCCAGCACCGTGGTCTGCCTTTCTGGCCAGAAAGTCGCCATCCCACCCCGTTTCCTTGCGGTTCTTTCCTCCCCCCCGCTTCCATCTTATGCAATGCACGTTGTCCCCAACTTCGACCCCTTTCCGCTTGGCGGAGAGGGGTCCCCACTTGGACACAGCTCATCCTCCTTTAGCAGCACCCAGAAGTCTCGTTGACCCGCCCCTTTGGATTCACCCAAAACTTCAAACCCAACCCGCTGACTCTGGAAAGACCAAAAATCTGATTTGGTCTGCATGGGCCTTACCCTCCCGCCCTTTTCACACGGAAGCTGACGAGTGGGGGGGGGCCTGGTTTGGACCATCTTCCTTTTAGAGGGGCTGGGACCCCCGAACGTCAGGTTCCGTGTGGAAAGGGTGGGAGGGTACTTAAATCAATCACCATCAAGCCAGGAACCCAACCCGCCAGAATGGCCAATGCTTCGGTGTTCAACCCATGTCAGATGTCAGCAGTTTACTTTGCCATGCTACAGGAACTGACCCCAGTTGTGCCAGTCAGTTGCCCCAGTTACCAAGAACTCATCGCTTTTGATCCTGGTTTCGATCCATTTGTCGTGGCTCAAGAACATCCGACCTGCAAGCCACGGTCCCTAAAAACATCGTGAACGCAGCCAGCCAGAAAAGCTGTTCGCTTAGCCTCCTGTCCACAAGGCCATGGAACCCACAGAAATGGTCCTCTTTAAAGGAACATGGTCCAGCACTCCGAAACGGCAATGGCAACGTGGACAGGAGGATAGATCACCAACGACCCGGGAATTCGAAGAACTATCCGCCATCCGCCTGGGCCCCTCCAGCTCCGCGTTCGCCTGCATCAGGTTCAGCCTCGGCGTATCATCCCTGCCTTTGTGTCACTGCGTCCTGCTTCGGGCTTAAGATCCCCATCGGTGCACGAAGACCTTGGTTCCTGCAAAGATTCCAAAGGAAACCAAAAACGGTCTGTTCCGAAACCAAAATCTAAAGCAATGGATAACGAAAGGAAGCACAACATGCTTTGTGTCTCGTGATGCTTTTGGAACTCGGAGCCTGTCTTGGGCAGCGCGAAGAACTGTACAGCAAAAATGCGCTGCTTGCAAGGCATGTGCCCCTACTGTTGGCAGTTGATGTTTAAACTGAACATCCAACCCCAGTGGCCACATCGCCCCCGAGCTCCTTGTCCGATGTGCAGAAACGTCCACGGCGAATGGAACATGCGATTCATCAATAGTCCCCGGGTTTGCAGTAGATGACAGAATGGTTCTCATGCCACTGTTTGTGAAACCAGTTTGGCCCAAAAAAACACAAGAGTAAACCTACATATTGAGGAGGTGGCAGAAACAATACTATGGCGTTGAAAATGGGTCGAGATTTAATTTGGGATTTATTTATTTTTTGGATTGTTTTCTGCTTTCCGTCCTGTCTAGAAAAATGCTGTATTTTACAGCATTTTCTCACGAAATGTACGTATTTCACACTAGCCCGTCAACATCATCAGCATCGTGTTCAGCATCCAGCATCACCAACAAATCGAGGGCTTCCTACATCCTCAGCATCATCAGTTCCTTTCCGGCAAGGTAGGTAGGTATCTATGTATGTACGTTAAAAAGCAGGGGGGGATCCCTCTCATGATGGTAAAAAGTGAGGATTCAAATGCGGGTGCAATTTAATCCCCGTAAAACACCTAAAAATCGCGGGGGGGGGGGGGGGGGGTTGGGGGGGGAGGGCAGCCGCCCCCCATGATGTTGGAAAAAGTTGTGATTCAATTAGGGCTGCATTTTAATCTCTCACTTAGGGGGCAAAAAATATAAAAAGTAGCGGTGGGGTTCGGGCAACCGGCTGCCGCATGATCGAAAAAGTGATGATTCAATCTTGGGTGCATTTTAATCGAAAAGGGGGGTGGCAGGGGGCAAGAGGAACTGGCGATGCTGAGGATGCAGGAAGCCAAGGCCAAAAAACCAACTTGGAAAGCAGAGGATGCAAAAAGCCAAAGCCAGAAAGCCGCCAAAAGCCAGAGAGAAACTGGTAGTGCAGAGGATGCGAAAAGCCAAAGCAGCAAAAGCTGCATAAACCCAATAAAAAGCCGCAAAAGCCAAAAAGAGAGGAACGGTGAATGCAGAGGATGCGAAATGAAAAGCCACAAAAGCCACATAAACCCACGTAAAAGCAACAAAAGCAAAAAAGCCACGCACCCTGAAAAACAAAAAACAAACTAAAATGACCCTCCGTTAAAAATTGAGGCTAGGAGCAGTGATTCTCTTGTGGAGGTTCCTGGAAGCACCCCTCAAAGTATTCACTTGAGTCTTCAAACCACATCAGGTACGTAGGCTATAACCATGGTTCTCAAACGACCAACCCCAGCTATAACCATAGTCATAGTCTACTTGCTGGCAGGGGTGGTGAACATCCAAGCATGTTCTTTGTCCTACCAAACAAATGTGTGTTTGCCAGAAATGTAGCTTTCCCTTCTTTCCTCGAAAATCTCCAACAGGCCATCCTCTCGGCTACCAACAAGCGGCACCCCACACCCCACGAATCCCCAGACCCGGGCCCCCGCGCTGGCGCTGGTGCGGGACATAGACCTGGCCCCACTCAGGCAAAGCCTCCCGCGGCACCGCGCCTGAAAACTCCTCGCCTCGCGGCGTCGCGGCTGAGAGCGAAGGCATGAAAAGCTGGGAACGTGAACTCCCCACCTGTGGGATCCCCATCCCTTCTGTGTTCCTTTGGGAGCCCCCAAAACCCGCCGGGACTACCCACCGCACCGCCAAACTTCACCCGGCGACTGGCCTCAGTATGCCATGATCAAAGTCACCCCATTTTCTGATTTTGACCCCCAGAAACGCCAAAAGAATGACCCCGGCCAAGCGAGCGCCCGGTCGCGAGCCGCCCGCTTCGGGCCGCTTGCCGCCTTCCGTGGGCTTCATGGGCTTCATGTAGCCCAGCAGCTCCATGGCTCCCCGCCAGGCCTGAACACACCCCGAAAATTCCTCCGGCCCATTTGCCAACCCCCCCCCCCAGCAAAAGAAAAGAAGAAGAAAACAAAATGGAAACAAAATCCAAGAAAACAAAACGAAATGAAATGCAACTCGAATCAACCCTCAAAGCTCCAGCAATACTTTATCAAATCGACCATCAAATCCAACAAACACTAACAAATGGAAGTTCAAAGCCAAAAAATGTTCAAAGATGCAGCAATGCTGAATTCCCCCCCCCTCTGAATCCCTCCCCCCTCCCTCTCCCCTCCCTCCTCCCTGCTCCCTCCCAGACCTCAGTCGCACAAACCTACACCGACCACCGGGGCCAAACCTCCCGCACGCGCCCGCACGCGCCCGCACGCGCCCGCGCCCCATTCAGCCGGCGCCTGGCCCGCCACGCAGCAGGTCTGCGCCGCGCTGCAGCCCACGTGGCTGGGCTCTGCACTGACGGGCGAGCCGAGGGACATGGCAGCGCGGCGAAAAATTGGAGGGGCGGGGGGGGGGGGGGGGGTCCGGCTGGGCGAAACGGAAGCTATTCAATTTTAAGTAGGTGGGGTGCTGCAATACACTTTAGCGGTGATCACCTACTTATTGGTTGAAACTGTTCCTTGTCCGTCGCTGGCGGTCTTCCTTGTGGCCCAGCAAAAGGGACATACTTCTTCTTGGCGCTTAAGGGAGGTGCTTCAAGGCCTCCAACTGGCCAGGGGAGAAAGCGTTCTTTTTCCACAAGCTTGGCAACTCAAAACACCTGAGCCCAAGATAGGATTGAAAGGGAAAATGTAAAAAGGGCAGAAGGCTCTGAAAAGAACCCCCCCCCCCCCCCCCAACCACCCACCCACCCAAAGTGGGAACCCTCTTGGTCCGGATGGAAAGGGCAATGCTCTTCAAAAAAAATGCATCTGGGTGTGTCTTTTGTTTCAGGGAACCCACAAAAAGGCAACAAATGGTGCTTTCTTTTGGCTTCCCTTTGAACCAATCCCCAAACATGGCAGCCTCAACCCTCGTGTCCCGAGCAAAGCCATCCCCTCCGCCGGCCTCTGCCTGAGCAAACATCGGAACCTCCGGCGTGCGCGAAAACCTTCTGGTTTCCACGGCTCCAGGGGTTGGCTCATTCTTTTCTCGAGCACTGGCTAATTTCTTGCGCGGCTCCAAAGAAAAAAGCCTCCCGCTTGCATACCCCCAAGCTTGGCTTGGAAAAGACGGAGGAACTGATCCAGCGGAGTCCACCAAAGGGTTCCCTGACGATTCCGACCGACCCTGGGCGCCCCGACACGCTCAACGCGGCCTCCCACTCCCGCCGCCGCGTGCAGGCAGAGAGCGCGCACTGGGCGAGAGCAAAGCTTTGGATGCAGCTTTTCCATGAACTTGCTCAGCGGTCAAGCCTGAACCCAGGATTTCAATATTTTCTTGTTCAATAGACCCCCAGTAGCGTGATTTTGTGCGCAGAGAGTTTTTAACTCTCCGGCGGCCAAGTTGGGCTGCGAACAGCCTCGAACTGCAAAACGTACTTCTGCCAAAACAACCGTTAAAGCAGACTGACCTTGGTCTCTCCCAACTCGGCATTCGGGACGTCACCATGGTTTGGCCGAGCAACACCCCCCCTTTTGAAGTTACTTCACTCCGGCGCCAAATCTGCAGCGTTCGGAAGCTGAGACCGGCCTTCCACCTTCTCATGCGAGCCCAGCTCGGGCTTGGGCCTCGACTTCCTGTATGGCCACTCGCCTCATACTTCTGCTCTAGGTACCTTTGGGTCAGGAAGCCCCGAAAACCCGGCAGGCGTCACTTGGCTTCCCCACGTTGAAGCTCACGTGGTCCACTGCCTAGCGTGGCAAAGGTGGTCCCTTTCCATGTATAACATTTGAACAGGCAGATTCAGCCCCCATAAGACCAGGAATCATGAAGGGAAACCCATTTGGGTGTTTGCGTGTGTCTTTTCTAAAGGGGGGTACTAACCCGTTTTCTCGTTTTTTTGTTTGGGTTGGTTTAAGGGGAAACCAAAAAGGAAAGCAACCATTTTGGGGGGACCCCACTCATTTTCTGTTTTCCTTCTGGTTTCCTTGTGCCAGTCGGCCAATCATGTCTTGAGACATGCCGAATTGGAAACCATCCAAAAAGCGGTACCCTCAACAAAAACACGTACCCGTTGATTCATAAGGACATGACACCAACCACCATTTCTCAATTCCATTCTCTTCAGGGTAGGGTAGGGATTTCATCTTGCCGACGCGCCCTTTGGTTGGGCAAGGTCTGCTGCTTGCGAAATCTGGTTCTGTATGCTCCTTGCCCACGTCAGGCCAGTGGGTGTAACCATGGCAAGGGAGACAACCAGCCAGTTAAATATCTAAATTATACCTATGGTTGTATCAAATCCAACTCTGCAGATTCACATGGGACCCTAGAGGCTTGTAGACACAACTCCTTCCACCCTCTTTTAGGGTTCCGTGTTAGCTTAAGGACCACAAAGTGGGTTGACCATGCAAGTGCCCTGGACAAACATCGCTGCGTTGCGGCGCGGCTGTTGCGATCGCAGAAAACCGGACAAGCCAGGGTATGGCCTGGATTGGATTGCTCGTTTTGCGATTCGTTGGAAAGTCATCCCCTCGTTTGTGATCTGTCCCGAAAAGAAAAACAAACTGGCCAGAAAGTAGGCGAGACGGCACGAGACGGCACCGCCCGGGCGGCGCCGTCCAGAAAATGTGTGGATTCGGAGTCCAATGACTAATGACCGGCCGCTTTTGCGGGTGAAATCGAGGAACATGTCACTGGCGAGGTCTTGAAACCCTGCTACTGACTTATTTACTCGCTTTGTTGTCGTCCCCCACTCATTTGCTCATAGGAATTCTCCAGCGGGCCAAAAACAGCACTGCGTCCTTTTTCCGTTTGAGCGCTGTCGCGCCTGCCCCAGCGCCGCACTGATCTTGTCATCAAAGTGCTGCGCTGGTGTATCAAGGTCACACAGGTGCTGGGGTAAACCATACAACGGATTCCGCTCCGATGCTTTCTGATTCTCACTTGCCAAAACATAGAAACAAAGGTCACCAATCACTGTTTTCACCAAACATGGGCCAGAGAGACCAAAAGGTCAAAGAGTCAAAGGTGTCACTTCTGAGCAACTTGAAAGGGTTCCCTAAAATGCCAGCCCACTTGGCTGGCCATAAGGACTGGAAACACGCAACACGTACGATCACGTATGTCGCAAACCCCATCAGCCTGGCATTAACCTGAGCCCTAGCCCAGCCTAAAGCTGGTAGGCTGACAAGGGCGCGCACAGTGCGCGCCCCTTTCCGCCCAAGAATCCCGCGCTTTGCGGAATGGTGGGCAGGTGGCTCCATTTGGAGCCACCGACGGCCGGCTGAAATACAGGGCAGGGCAGGGGTCGGTATATTTCTCACCCAGACTTACACTTGTTCAGGGGGAAGTTAAAATTGCCAAAAAAATAACCAAATCAATGCAACTGATCCTTCCCAAGGGAAATAGACAGACCCCCCCAAACCCGACCCTGTCACCGCGTCCGCGTCTTCGTTTTGGGAGAGCCGCGAGCTTGTCTCGCATGGCCCTCGCATCCAAAGCCTGCAGCTGCAAAGGAACATCACCAAGGGGACCCAAAGGACCACAAAATGAAACCAGAAAACCAGACAAACCCAGGGTCCAACCTGGATTCCTGCTGGTTGAATACCTCCAATTTGCAACCGTGCGATCCTTTGGGAAGTGGGTAAATGGCCATCCCATGCTCATTTGCTCGTCCCTGAAACCCAGCCAGCCACCCTTTATCCGTTGGGAAGTGGGTATATGGTCATCCCGTGCTCGTTTGATCTCGGGTGCTACCCTTTGATCCCACAAATGAAACCAAACCTGCTGTGCCTGTAAAAACCTCCCTTTTTGAAACCAACATATCTCCGGACAAGGGGGTCTACACAAAGCGCCCATTTTGCGAGCAACTTCTGTGCAGCGACAAAAAAAAACAGGGGATTACGGGTGGCGAATATCGAATTGGAATTGGGGCCCTGTCGACAGAATGGGGGCGCCCGGAAGACCACTTCCCCTTTACAAGCAACTTCCACCCAGGCCAAACATGTGTGCGCGCCACCCACCCTTTGTGCTCAACCTAACCAGTCTAACGCAAGATCCACTTGGGCTACCAAACTGGGTTGATCTTCCCCCTGAGCAAAACATATATCCTGTTGCAGGTTTACTTTAAAAACAAAAAAATGTGATTCAACAAGGTCTGATAAGGGGCTAAGGTCACACCAAAGACCAGCCGTGCAAATAGGTGTTATCTGTTTAGAGGCGCCCTGTGGCAAAACGAGCTGATCCTTCCAAATGCTTAGGATCCGTTCCTCTCAGGTTTCTTTTCCCAGAAACTGTGTGGCTGTTTGGGCCCTGTGCAAACAGTGTTGCTTGTTCCTTGGTGGGGTTTTCCGAACAAGTTAAAGACCAAAGATCGAACCAAAGAGCAGCAAAGCAAAGGGTCGCCCGGACTTGACGCAAACACTCATCTCCGAAACTGGCCTGGAGCATTGTCCGATGCGAGAGATGCCTAGTACATCTGCAGAATGTGGTGCTGGGTCTGCCGCATCGACCTAGGAACCGAAGGTGGCGAGAGAAACCAACTTTCAAGTCAAAAGGACTCCGGCTCACTAACATGGAACCTCTCCGAGAAATCCTGGAAGACCACTTGTCCTGTAAAAAAATTCCCTCTGGCGGATTCCATGTTAGTCATGGCCGGTGATCTATCGCACCTGCATGGCTGGGGAAGTGTCTCGTTCATGCTTTACCAACACCAGGAGTTTCCGTTCTAAACCCACTGACATGATATCCATTCGGCGTTTGCCACAACACACAACACGTATGGCACCTGCACCTTCAAATAATCATTCTCCTTCATGGCCAGAGCAGGTTCCTCCCCTGAATTTGGGAAATTCTAAAAAAAAAAAGACCATGCAAAAGGGGACTCGCGTTCGGCTGTTCGAGCGACCACTAAAACCTCCTTTCGGTATCTGTTTGGTGTTCCCGTCTTTCCGACAGGTGACCTTTCCAAAATGGTACTGCTCCAAAACCCTCCCGTGCACTGATTGTTGCAAAGAGGGTGTGTATGCATGCATGTGTGTACATAATATATATATATATATCTTTATAGATACGCTTATTAGAAATATTGACGACAACATGATCCAGACCTGAAGCCTTCCCTTCCTCAAAATCCGGCGGCCAAGATCCAGAGCCCAATCTTCCTTGGGGCCAAGTTCTGGCCCCAGCCTAAAATCAGCGCTCCAAGTCTTCTCAAGCGAGCGAAACACGCCCGTCGCCCGTCCGGATTCTTGCTCAAGGCGTGTAGAATTCGAGAACGGGGCCCTTGCATCATGATCTCAACCAAACCTTGGATTGAAAGCCCAAATCGTTTTTCCCGGGCACTTGATTTGCTCCATCCGTCTGCTTCTACACGAATTGCGCCCACCCAACCAAGCCCACAGGTCAGTTCGCTCGTTTCAAGGTCTCCCGTGGTACGTGACAAACGGAACACATCCCGGTGGTTCAAACTGGGTGGTGTGAATCCTGCTCCGGAATCCCTAGTGCGACACCACCACAAAGGAAACCACCGCCATCTGCCAGAAGAGTCGTACTCAAAACATCCTGACCCCCTTAAGGAATTGTCAAATTGAATTTGAGCAACCCAGAGATCATGACTCCAGAAAAACAATCAATAAGCCGGGCCCCCAGCAGGAGCATCGCGTCAGAGCAGGCCAAGAAAATGGAGAGCATACACAGAGGGTCGTCCTGGCGAGCGCTGAACAGCAACCGGCAGAGGGAATTCCGGGTTGGCGTGAACCAAGCGGTTTCGCCCGGACATGGGCAGTCCTAACCCACCTTCGTTGGCGACCTTTGGGTGGGCCCCCTTTGGATGGACTCCCCAAACTAAGGATGAACGACCAGCAAAATGCTGTCAGTCTGCTTCCCGGGACGTCGGGTAGAGTGTAGCAAAAGTGTCCTTCGTGAGACTTGCTCCCCTTGCCGCTTGATTCTGAGAGGAGAGTAAATCATGGGTTATCCTGGTGGTCTTCGTTTCAACCAAGCCAAGACAACTGCATCCATGGCATCCTCCAAACACACACCGGGAAGAGAGGAAAAGGAGGTCACGGTAGTAGTAGGAGGCGAATCGTTCCTGAGTGTCACCATCCTTGGTAAACGTCGAAGGTGTCTTTTGGGTATCCTCGGTAAACGTCAAAGGTGCGTAGCGAGCATCCCTGGTAAACATCAAGGGTGTCTTGCGCATCAAGCACGTCTGGCAATATGTCAAACGTGTCTTGCGAGAGTCCTTGGTAAACGTCAAGGGTGACGTCACAAACTGATGGCGGGCACAACTTGCAAGTAACTGCGGGTATCCTTGGTAAACGTCAAAGGTAGCGTCGCCTGGCACACGTCAAAGATGACGTCGCTGATTGAAACGGCAAAGATCTGTTGCTTTTGAGAGGGGGGGCATGCCAGCTGCGCATCACAACGCCCAGGCACTGCCAAGCAGGTACGTTTCACCGGAAAAATGCAAGGTCTTTGTTGGCCAAGGCTCGCATTCTTCCTCCTTGGCCCCCTGTTTTTCAATGAAATGTGAAAGCATGCTTGTGACAGCATGTTACACACACACAAACATGGAGACCAACCCCAATGGGAGCCAAGCCTGCGCCCACAACCCTCCCCCTCCCCATCAACCCATCGACTCGGCTAGGTCCCGGAAGCTGGTGAGGTTCGACTCGGAGACCTGGAAACTGGGAGGTCCGAAACGGAGGGTTTTCTGGTGGCTTGGGGCCATTTTCAGCCACCGAAACCCTGGCCTATGCTTGAGGATCCTTTGGTGGACTCGACATCATGGGATGTGCTCTCAAAAGTTCATAGCCATATGAGCTACGGGCAAATCACGCAGTTCTACCGGGCATGGGAGAACTACAGCTTGTCCTCCTGGTGATTGTCGGAAACTCGGAGATCCTCTGTCCCAAATTGACCAGGCTTGTAGAGCGGGCCCCTTCCAATTCACTCAAATCCAAGTGTTAAGAAGGGTTCCCAGGCTCGAAGAACACCGCAAATCAACGGACCAAGCGCCAGGATCGGCCGGGAGACGCGCATTTCCCCCTCTGGGCGTGAAGTTATTTGGGCCAACTGCCCTCGGATGAGCATGGTTACTCGAACTGTGAACTTGAGGGCCAAAGCCCTCTACGACACGGCCCAAAAAGCATGCAAATCTGCAAAGAGATTCATTCTGTACACGCACCGTCCGAGCGCGCGAAGCTGCGTCGCATGACGCATCTAGAAGCACTTGCGGTGCACAATTGTGGGGCCGCTCTCGTCATACTCGCCCTTGGAAATCCACATCTGCTGGAAGGTGCTCAGGGAAGACAGAATGGAGCCACCAATCCAAACGCTGTACTTCCGCTCAGGTGGAGCCACGACCTTGATCTTCATAGTGGACGGCGCCAGCGCAGTCAGCTCCTTGGTCATGCGCTCACCGACTCCCGTGAACATGGTTGTGCCACCTGACAGCACCACGTTGGCATAGAGGTCCTTGCGAATATCTACATCGCATTTCCTGGGTTGGTCTTGGACCCTCGCAAACAGTCAAACTACTTTTCCGGGGGGGATAGGGCATGATAGTTTGCTTTTCCAAAAGCTTCAAAGGTCAACGGGATATGTGCCAAAATAGTGACTTCCCACCCGCAACATGGGCTTCGGCTTGCCTTCTGATTTCCCCACCAACCAACCTGAAAAAAACAAAAGGCGCCGCCTCAAAAAACCACGTCAACCAAAAAAAAAGGATACCAAAAAGCGGCCGAGGCGTCATGATGGACTGGAAGGTGGTGTCGTGAATGCCGCTGGCCTCCTTGCCCACGAAGCTGGGCTGGAACAGCACCTCCGGGCAGCGGAACCGCTCGCCGCCCACCGTGATGATGTTGCCGTCCGGCAGCTCGTAGGTCTTCTCCTCATCCCGTCCGACACGACTCGACACATTTTACGCTTGGAGCAGAGGCGCTGGACATGAGGTTCTCTTACTCAGATGCCCAGTGGGCCATGGGAAAACAGGGCGTCCTTTTTGGCTGGCGGACTTTGAAAGAATCGGAACCCCTCTCCAAACAAAAGAGAAGGGAGGCAGCCCACTGGTTGCCACTGAATAATTTCAACCCCATGGTTGCCACTCTTCAACCCCATGACCCGAGCATGCGGCAGGGCCCCGATGCGGCGGGGCCCCGAGCTCCGAGCTCCGGCTCCTTGTCGCTGCTCTCGGAGGCGGCCTTCATCTCGCTGTCGAAGTCCAGGGCGATGTAGCAAAGCTTCTCCTCGGGTCGAACCCGGCTCCCAAAGCCGAACCGCTGGAAGAGAAACACGGAAGAAACACCCTTTCTTCTTCATTGTTTTTACTTTGTTTGTAAAAAAAAAAAAAAAAAAAAAAAACTTGAAAAACGACCTCCGTGCGGAGAGGGGACAGCCTCAGGTTCCACAAAAAAGGGTCGAAGCTGAGAGAAACTAAGTCTCCTACATCCTTGTAAGCCCCCCTAGTTCTTTCAAAATACTGTTGCTCGGCGAGATGAATTCGCATTGTGCAAGCCCTTTTAAAATGGCGTGGTCCCTCTTGACGCGCCTTTAAACACATTCAAACGGGGGTCCACTTTTCTCAGAACCCCCCCTCCCTGTTCCACAACCAGCGTCCTTCACGTCCCGCACAATCTCACGCTCCGCCGTGGTGGTGAAGGAGTAGCCTCGCTCCTATCCACCCAAAGTCGATTTGAACCAGCCCTGCTCAACGACCTCCGTTTGGCGTCCCTTGGGTCCAGTAGGTCCCTTGCTGGTTTTCCTGTTTTCTGGGTTCCCGTGTCTGTTCCTTTTGCGTTTTCCTTCAAAACCACCCAAAAAAGCCAGGCACCAGCTCCAAAAAAGGACCCCGGAGGTTATCAGCCGCTTCCCCACCCCAAACCCCCGCTCCGTGAGGATCTTCATGAGGTACTCCGTCAAGTCCCGGCCCGCCAGGTCCAGCCGCAGAATGGCGTGGGGCAGGGCGTAGCCCTCGTAGATGGGCACCTCACGAACCGAGGACCCGACCATTTGGATGTGTCTTGTCTGAGGGTACCTGGGTTTTTTGAGTGGTTTTTGGGGGTGGCGCTCGTCTTTGAGGGTACCTGTTTGTTTTGGTGTGTGGTTGGGGGGTGGCGCTCGTCTTTTTTGAAGGTACCTGGTTTTTGAGTGGTTTTTTGGGGGGCGCCGCTCGTCTTTTTTGAGGGTACCTGGCTTTTTGGGCGGATTTTTGGGGGGTGCCGCTCGTCTTTTTTGAGGGTACCTGGTTTTTTTGGTGGTTTTTTGGGGGTGCCGCTCGTCTTTTTTGAGTGTACATTGTTTTGTGGTTTTTTGGAGGTGCCGCTCGTCTTCTTTGAGGGTACCTGGATTTGTGGTGGTTTTTTGGGGGTGCCGCTCGTCTTCTTTGAGGGTACCTGGATTCTTGGTGTTTTTTTGGGTGCCGCTCGTCTTTTTTGAGGGTACCTGTTGTTTTCTTTTGGTTTTTTGGGGTGCCGCTCGTCTTTCTTGAGGGTACCTGGTTGTTTTTGTGTTTTTTTGAGGGTGGACCTGGTTTGTTGGCTAGTTTTTTGGGAGTGCCGCTCGTCTTTTTGAGGGTACCTGTTTGTTTTTGTGTTTTTTTGAGGGTGGACCTGGTTTTTGTTGGTGGTTTTTTGGGGGTGGCGCTCGTCTTTTTTGAGGGTACCTGGTTTTTTTGGTGGTTTTTGGGGGTGCCGCTCGTCTTTTTTGGAGTTGGGTACCTGTTGTTTGGTGATTTTGAGGCGGAAACCGACAGGGAACCCCCCCTAAAAAATGAGCCATTTTCTGAGGAAATAGTCTGGTTTTCAGACTCCCTGCAAAAGGCTTCGACTTGTTCTGGCAGGGAAATAGTCATTGTTCAAACTTGGTCTGAACCGATCTGCTGGGTGGGGAAGTAGCAATTATTCAAAGTCTAAAAGGCTACACCTGGGTAAAAGCAAATCTGACATTGGTTTTGTCATCCCCATCACTTGCCCACATGGGAATTGTGTCATCGTTCAATGCTTGTTCACTTTGTCTCCAAATTGACCCTAAACATAGGAGTGCACCAACCAAGAAGGGTGTGTCTTTAAAGGGACACCAACAAAGAGAAGGTTTTGGTAGTATATAAACCCCTTTAAGCCTTCTCTCAAAAACACGCCACACTCATAGAGGTTGTGAACCGCACGTCCCAGGCGCCGTGTGGCTGACGCCATCGCCACTGTCCATCACGATGCCGGTGGTGCGGCCCGAGGCGTACAGCGACAGCACCGCCTGGATGGCGACGTACATGGCGGGGACGTTGAACGTCTCAAACCTGGGCCGGTTGGATATCCGACCGATCCGAGCGGGAAAAAGAATCCTCAACCTGTTGCTGGTTGAAAGGGAACACGAAGGAAACCCAAGAAGGCGCAACAAATGCCTATTGTTCTTTTGTAAAAATGTTGAGTCTGCTTTCTCTGGGTGTGTGACCCCTGCAAAAAAAAGAAAAAAAAAAACACGACTCCCCGAAAAACATAGTACAAGTCCTGTTGACCACGACCCTGCAACCAAAAAAAAACGACAAGTCCTGCTAGCCATGGGCCGTGAGGCATGATCTGCGTCATGCGCTCCCGGTTGGCCTTGGGATTCAAAGGCGCCTCCGTGAGGAGCACCGGATGCTCCTCGGGCGCCACGCGCAGCTCGTTGTAGAAGGTGTGGTGCCAGATCTTCTCCTCGGCTCCGGAAGGAAGGAAGGAAGGAAGGAAGGAAGGAAGGAAGGAAGGAAGGAAGGAAGGAAGGAAGGAAGGAAGGAAGGAAGCTGGGTTCCTAGTGGCTCCGAATCCCAGGTATGAGGGCTCTCCTTTTGGTTCTTCCTGGCTTAAGAAACCCTAGAATGATTCGATTCCCCTGTGATACCAACTAACAATGTTTTTGTTCTTCCTTCTGGCTTTTCCCTGAAAAAGCCAATTATTATGTTAGTTTGTTTGTTAAAAAAAAAGGAGAAAAAAAAAGGGGGGGGGGGGGAAAAAAAAAAACGAATCATCATGTTTGAGGGGTGTGTCTGAAGAACTTGATAGGGTTTTTTCCTGAATTCCGGTGGCTCAAGGCGTGAACTGGGAGCTGACACCTGGGTGAGAGATCCCCCGCACTAGAAGGACTCCACATTCGGGTCACACATTCGGGTCACCCAACATGTCTTGCCTGACCTCCCTGGCCGTTCTTTCGGGCTCTCTCTTACCTTGAGGGGTTCTCGCAAAGGGATTCGGACCCACTGGTTGGCAGCCGAAAGGAAACCAAGCCGAAAGGAACTTGTCCAGCTTGACCTGATGCCCGGCTTTCTCTAAAGCATCTTCAAAGGGCAACCAAAACCCTTTCCCTAGAGTCAAACAAGTCATCTTGGTCAGTGAATAAATTCACGAGATGTCTGTGAATCAACTGGAAGGGAATCGAACCGCACACCCTAATAGGTATAAGTTGGGAGACTGCCCAGAGGGTGCTCAAGATGGGTGGCTCCTCTTCTTTCCAGGAGACCAATAGGTTTTGGTTATAAACCTTTACAAGGATGGGTGCAACCAGAGGTCAATAGGCTTTGGTGATAAACCTTTCAACTTCCCATTAAAACCAGCCAAAAAAAGGGGCTCCCAAAAAAGGGCACACCCAGATCTGATCGGAGCTTCCATATCATCCCAGTTCGTCACGATGCCATGCTCAATGGGGTACTTCAAGGTGAGCACACCTCGCTTGGACTGCGCCTCGTCTCCCACGTAGCTGTCCTTCTGATCCATGCCCACCATGATTCCGGGCATCTTGGGTCGGCCGACCTGGGCGTTCAACGAAGGAAAATCAATCGCCCACCGCCCATCTGGGCAAATTGCCATAATTCCTACAGTAAGAAATTCGGAATCCCGAAGTGACAAGATCATGGCTCGCTTTACCTCCAGGTCAGCTCATTTACAATCTGCCCAGACACATCCCCTTTTGTTCTTCTTTTGGTAAAATCAAAGCTATGGCTGCTATTCAGCGCCCAGCGGCAATGGACGGGAACACGGCCCGCGGCGCGTCATCTCCCGCGAAGCCCGCTTTGCACATGCCGCTGCCGTTATCCACAACGAGGGCCGCAACTTCCTCGTCACCCATGATGTCGAGTTAGACGAAGACGGTGAAGGATTTGTCTTATTGCGGCTCACTCTTGAGCCCAAAAATGACTGTCTGCAAGCCAAATTCAAAGGCGGAAAATCTGCCTCGAGGAGACCGGATTCTGTTGACTCCACAAACTAATGGGGGGAGGGGGAGGGGGAAGGGGGGGAAGGGGGGAGGGGGGGAAGGTGGGACTGCAATGCTGCAACCACAAAAATTGCTGCTGTTTTTGCTCCTGGTGTTCTCTAATCTCTCCACAAAAGATCGGCGCCCTGCAAGAGACAGTCAACTTGCTGAGATCTTGTTTGGACATGGTTTTACACAAGGTTCACCTTAATGTGGTTGCCAGAATCGAAGTTATTTGGTGGGGGGCAAGAGCTGAGGTGGGACGAGCCTCAACATTGCACAGCTGGGGATGGAACATTCCATTTGCCCCGCGTGCAGTATGGCAACAGCATATTCTAGACCGTGGCTCATGCATGCGAGACTCGATCAACATCATATCCGGTCCATGGTCAGTTTGGGGCTCGGGACATGGGACGAAACCCTAGATGATTGCCTGTCTCAATTGCGAATACTCGCAATGAGTAATCGCTTGCTGAAGTGCAGGGATGATGCTGGCCCAGGAGTGTTTAATGAAGCATGGTCATGGGCCGTTTTTGGCGAGGAGTGTCCCATTTTAGAAAGGAGCAGGGAAACCGTTCTGGGCTCAAAGACCCCGGCCTCCTCGGGTGTGTACAGGTCCTCCCGCACGATCTCCTGGCACGCAAAATTGGCCTGAGTTGGTCCACCAGACCCGCGAAGAAACCAAAAAGAGGTTGTTTACGCTCGAAGGGGTTTCGGGACCTTGCGAGCCGGCCTGCCGGCAAAAGCCAAACTGAGGGAACATCGACGTGTCACCAACAGGTTTGCGCATTGAAGCTCATTTCAAAGGAAAACCTTTCGGGGCATGTCAGCATAAGTTGTACCCCCTGTCAAGTTTGGAAGCAGCCAAAAATCAAGCAAACCACAGGGACAGGTCCAACTAGTTCTGGCACCGTGGAAGGTGACGGTCATGGTTCTCGGGATAGGAACCCTTATATACCAATGGTCGTACAGGTTGTCTACATTCCCTACTGTGGATAGATGAAATCCTGCACCACCTAAGAATCCATGCGAAACCACTGTTTGTTGGTATGTACAGGGAATCAAACATTCCAGGGTTTCTTAGGTGGTGCAGGATTTCGTCCATCCACAGTATTAGGGAGCTGATGCCAGTGCCTACCAAACCCAAATAAAGAAGGTGTTTTGGCCATGGCACATCAATGGCAAACATTGACCGTTGCTCACTCAAATGTTCAACCGACTTAGTTAAGCGCCACGGATACAACTGGGGCCACCGCTGTTGGCCCAGCATGACCATGATTGTAATCTATGAATTAAGTGTTCCAACCCCCCGAAGCCTATTCATGACTTGCATTTTCTCTCTTGTTTAATCAGCCCAAGAACAGATCGGTGGGCGTAAGAAAAACGGTGAACCTCTGCCGATCCATCAACCCTGGCTCGCGTGTCCGACTTCCGGCGATCATCCATTTCACCACTTGGGGGGGGGGGTCAGGCCTACCTTGGGGTAGGTGGAAGGACTTGGCTCAATGACACATCTCGGACCCCTGCCCCCCCCCCTCCACCCCACCATCCCCGACCACCCCAAAACAAGTCAACAAATGGACCCCCCCGCTGCTCATGCTTCTTTCGCGTCCTCGAGGAGCGCGAGCTTCACTTTGTAGAAGTCCAGTCGGAACTGCTTTGTGACTTTCTGGCCAAAAAGAGGACGCGAAAGAGTTTGCGCTGTGTCGTCTTTGAAGCTGCCAAGCACAAAGGGTGTTGGGCCGGGCCCCAAAAAATAACGCAAAAAAGTGTTTCTGTTGAAGTTGGCAATCTGGGTCGGAGTCCGTCGGAGGTGGAAGCCGAAGGGAAAGAAACGGGAAGCGGAGCCCTAAGACAAACCCAGAGAGAGAGGCTCTTTGCTGGGGCCAAAACTGTCCTAACCCAAGCCTCCGGCACCCGGATTGCCATTCCTTGCGCTTCCTGAAAATTTGGTGCTGCATCTCCTAAGTCGCTCTCAGGTTTGTCGGTCTAGGGAGAGGTGTGAGATCCCTCGTTGTAAAAGAACCCCACCTAGGGGGTTGTTAAGAAGCAAAAATCATAATTTGCCCGTCATGATGGTTTCCTTTTCAATTGAGGATCCCTTTCAAACAGAGAGAGAGAACAGATTAGCAAACCCCCATTTGGGGAAACCAAATCTGGAAAAAAGTCGATAAACAACTGCACCAAGAACGAGGGAGCGTGATTTTTTACGAGCTCGATGGAGGGTGGAAAGTACATACTGTGCCTGTATCAGCTTTCCACGAGAAAAATCTAAAGTGATGTAAAGTGTACCCCCAGACCCCCAGTGTGACCGCGGCACAAAAAAGGACATCCCTGTTTCTGCTGGTTGACCTGAAACAGGAACCCTGCCCAAAACCAGGGGAAAACGAGTGCCACGTCAGGGGGACCGAAACGAATTCCCGCAGATACGGCCTACCCCCACTGCCCCAGGCTTGGCCAAAGCCTCGTTATCCAGCATGGACCAGCGCGTGTGCGTCTCGTGCGTGAACACCTGAGCGACAGTTTCGTGCCAGCCCCAAGCTGCAACCTGCCTGGCAGAAGGGCACCAAAAATATGAGAATCGGCTTCTGGGGAACTTGAAAAAAAAATCTTCTTGTGGGAGTGAACCAGAAATGATCGAGCCCCTAATATTGCCGCAGGTCCCCTTTGTTTTCCTCATGTCCCGAACCCGGCATTGACCATAGACTGCTGGAGTGGTTGACCGAATCTTTTTTGGGTATGTGGCCAAACCCATCGTCTTGAATTTGCCCAGAGCCAGCGGCACAAAGAGGAACATCACGTCTCACGGTTTGGCCCCGGCAAAAATCCGAAGAAAGCTGCTTCCAGCTGTCCCCGGCCTATTGACCGTACTGGTAGTTGCAGACTCCCTAGGGCCTTTTTCTGCCAACCACTCCATCAACAAAGGGCCAAAAACCTGACCCAGAGCAAGGAAGCATCTGGCACCGCGGAATAAGCCAAGTCCTCGCTTCTTCCTCTTCATGCTTCGTTGCTAACTACCATGCCTCATCAACCTGAAAGAAGGAATCCGATGATGGGTTTCGCCAAATCCCTTCATCAATACGCGATGATCTTCATTCGCCCCAGATCGACACAAGCCACCTCCAGCATGGAGGAGATCAAGTCAAACTTCTCCAGCAGAATGCGCGACCACCTAAGCTCACTCCAAAGTTCACGAACAAACATGCCAAGCCTCGACCCCCACCACTACTGTTAACCCCGGAGTAAGCAGAACGTTGATTTTGATTGGGGGGGTGTCCTCTTTTAGTGGGGATTCATCACTTTTGGAGGGAACACCGGGTTTATTAATCCTGGGTCAACATTACTGAAGGAAAACGGGCAGTGTACTTTCATATCATGGCTTTTAAGTGGTTGCATATCCTGCGGGTAGAGGTTCCTCAAAGTCC